TACAATCATTATCATCACCCCATGTACAATCATCATCATCATCCCATGTACAATCATCATCATCACCCCATGTACAATCATCATCATCACCCCATGTACAATCATCATCATCACCCCATGTACAATCATCATCACCCCATGTACAATCATCATCATCACCCCATGTACAATCATCATTATCACCCCATGTACAATAATCATCATCACCCCATGTACAATCATCATCATCACCCCATGTACAATCATTATCATCACCCCATGTACAATCATCCATGTACATCACCCCCCATGTACAATCATCATCATCACCAATCCATGTACAATCATTATCATCACCCCATGTACAATCATCATCATCACCCCATGTACAATCATCATCATCACCCCATGTACAATCATCATCATCACCCCATGTACAATCATCATCATCACCCCATGTACAATCATCATCATCACCCCATGTACAATCATCATCATCACCCCATGTACAATCATTATCATCACCCATGTACAATCATCATCATCACCCCATGTACAATCATCATCATCACCCCATGTACAATCATCATCATCATCACCCCATGTACAATCATCATCATCACCCCATGTACAATCATCATCATCACCCCATGTACAATCATTATCATCACCCCATGTACAATCATTATCATCAATCATCATCATCACCCCATGTACAATCATTATCACCCCATGTACAATCCTCATTATCACCCCATGTACAATCATCATCATCACCCCATGTACAATCATCATCATCACCCCATGTACAATCATCATCATCACCCCATGTACAATCATCATCATCACCCCATGTACAAACATCATCATCACCCCATGTACAATCATCATCATCACCCCATGTACAATCATCATGATCACCCCATGTACAATCATCATCAGCACCCCATGTACAATCATCATCATCACCCCATGTACAATCAATCATCATGTACATCACCCCATGTACAATCATCATCATCACCCCATGTACAATCATCATCCACCCCATGTACAATCATCATCAATCATGTACAATCATCCCCCCATGTATCATTATCACCCCATGTACAATCATCATCATCACCCCATGTACAATCATCATCATCACCCCATGTACAATCATTATCATCACCCCATGTACAATCATCATCATCACCCCATGTACAATCATCATCATCACCCCATGTACAATCATCATCATCACCCCATGTACAATCATCATCATCACCCCATGTACAATCATCATCATCACCCCATGTACAATCATCATCATCACCCCATGTACAATCATCATCATCACCCCATGTACAATCATCATCATCACCCCATGTACAATCATCATCATCACCCCATGTACAATCATCATCATCACCCCATGTACAATCATCATCATCACCCCATGTACAATCATCATCATCACCCCATGTACAATCATTATCATAAGCCATCACAATCATCATCATCACCCCATGTACAATCATCATCATCACCCCATGTACAATCATCATCACCCCATGTACAATCATCATCATCACCCCATGTACAATCATCATCATCACCCCATGTACAATCATCATCATCACCCCATGTACAATCATCATCATCACCCCATGTACAATCATCATCATCACCCCATGTACAATCATTATCATCACCCCATGTACAATCATCATCATCACCCCATGTACAATCATCATCATCACCCCATGTACAATCATTATCATCACCCCATGTACAATCTTCAACATCCCATGTACAATCATCATCATCACCCCATGTACAATCATCATCACCCCATGTACAATCATCATCATCACCCCATGTACAATCATCATCATCACCCCATGTACAATCATCATCATCACTCATCATCATAATCATCATCACCCTTATCATCATCTCATCATCATTACATTACCTCATGCATACTCCTCATCATCATCATCCACAGTCAACATCGTGCCATGTACAATCATCATCATACCATATACAATCAGTATCATCCATGTACAATCATTTTCACTCGCTCAGTCATCATCATTATCATCATCATCATCATCATCATCATCATCATCATCGTCATTTTCATTATTATTACTAAATATACAAGTACACAAACTTTCACATCCACACATACCATAGAATGAGAGAAGAAAAAAACCAGTACGAAAATGTATTGAAATGGAGAGAGTATTAAAGCTCTTAAAATGTACCCTGGAAGTTCACAAATATATTAACAGATGAATTAGTCTGAGATATCTAATAGTTTCCCCATTTTATCCATTCAGCCCTAAACTTCTGTTGGGAAAGTTCCCCTTCAATGTAAGCAATACTTTTTTGACACATATAATACTCTTTAATTGAACTGATTAAAACTGTCAGATTTAAGGCTTTATGTAGACATCTTGTTTTGTATATGTAAAATTTGATTGAAATCAAAATCATATTATCTGTCTTATTACCTATATCATTGCCATTATGTAATAAATTACCGATGAGAAATCTTTGTTTATTAAAAGAAAATAAGATAAGGAGTGCATCAAAAAGGGTTTCCAATTTTTGTAGTAATGTTTGTGTTTCATGGCACTCCCATAGAACATGAATATTTTTTTTTCTGTTCGTTATTACCAAGGTTACACATAGGACTATTAGTTATACCAGCTTTAAACAAAAATGAATTAGTAGTTAATATATGTTGTAATATCCTATGTTGAAACCACCGTAGTTTGGTGTTTCTTGTGACTATGAAGGGAGTTATGTAAATGTAAGACCAGTTCAATTCATCATCTTCAAAAGTCCTCTCCCATTTTGTTCTACCAGTAGAAATAATCACTTTATTTATCATCAGATTATAAAAATCCCTACAACCTCTAGCTCTATTTAAGAAAATGGCAATGTTATTTGGAATAAATGGGTAGACAATTGATTGCTTATCAAATTCAATATTGCTTTTAATGCAAATATACCTTGACGGAAGAAATTAAACCCTGATATTGAAGAAAGTTAGTATTGACACTGTGCATCTCTGTGAATTCTTGAAAAGTGTAAAACAATGATGTATTGTGATCTTTTACAAGATCATTAACAATTGTTACCCCTCTGTTGTACCAATCTTTATAGTAAACTGACAATTTCTATTATGCTACAATGGCATCCTTAAGATAAACTGTTCTTGCATTTTTTTAACTCCCACAGAATCATTAAGTCTTACCCAAGCTTTGAATACATCTTTCCAAAATTTGTTCTTACAGTTTTTCAAACATTCTTGAATATGCCCATTCCCACATTTCGAAAATTTTTGTAAATCGATAGGCGAATAAAAAACTAATTGTCACTTAGATGGCTTCTGAATTAATCGTCTAATCCAACTCAATTTCAAAGAATCTATAAATACCTTAATGTTTACTATTTTGAGTCCTCCCTCATGATAATTCTAAGTCATAATATCTCTTTTTTTTTTATCTACCTTACTATTCCATATAAAGCTATAAAAAATGGAGTTAATATTCTGCAAGAAATGTTCATCAGGGTTTGGTATAGATATAAATAAATGATTTAGTTGAGAGCAGGTGAGATTTGATTATAGTGTCAGTGTCAGACTGTTAGGGTGGTCAGTGTCAGACTGTTAGGGTGGCCAGTGTCAGACTGTTAGAGTGGTCAGTGTCAGTCTGTTAGAGTGGGTCAGTGTAAGACTGTTAGAGTGGGTCAGTGTCAGACTGTTAGAGTGGTCAGTGTCAGACTGTTAGAGTGGGTCAGTGTCAGATTGTTAGAGTGGTCAGTGTCAGACTGTTAGAGTGGTCAGTGTCAGACTGTTAGAGTGGGTCAGTGTCAGAGTGTTAGAGTGGTCAGTGTCAGACTGTTAGAGTGGTCAGTGTCAGACTGTTAGAGTGGTCAGAGTGGTCAGTGTCAGACTGTTAGAGTGGTCAGTGTCAGACTGTTAGAGTGGTCAGTATTTGAGTGTACAATTGTATTTTGTAAGGTTGGTGGTGATTTTATTGTGACCACTTGCCTATTCCTATCCTGGGATTGAGACAAGATATAGTGGACCTAATGGTACATCAGAGATATTGACAAAGTGCACAATTTTGTGGATACAAAATACGGATAAATAAACTAGAAAACCTCGTCATTGATCATTTATTTTCTCATTTTTCTGCATCATTGTGTCAGATAACACTATATTCTGTTTCATTGTGTCTGTAAATACATTCAGTTAACTAAATAGTACAACACAATTTGTAACGAGCATGCAGATTAACTCGCCACCTTTAAGTGATTGAAGAGAATTATGCATGATTCTATAAAGTCACTGTGTGATATTGCAAAAATGATTACACATGTCAACAGTTCAAGTTTAACCGATTACACCACCATGAATTTCTTTCACACTCCAAATCACATTCCATGTAAAGATGATATCTTTTCTTGTATCAGATATGAGTCTACATCATAAGGACTGTTTTTATATATCTATTTCAAATAGGTCTGAAATTTTAGATAATAAAAGGCTGTTCAAAGTCATAAATTTAAATAGGGATTTAGTTCTGAAAATGTATAAACTAATGAAAATGTACCATTTAAATACACTTGAAATAAGATAAAGAATATCGAGTATCATTTTATTAAAATTTGATAAATTTGGAGTTTTCTTGTTTGATGAAAACCTATCACTGGTATCAGTATTATATCAAATAAGTTAAACATACAACTGCAATAAATATTCAGTTGGAGACATCCTGAGGATGCAAACAAATCTTTTATTGGTGAATAAATATAAAATAAATATTGACTTTCTCGATCCCAGATACATAGAAAACCCATGATAGAAGTACATTTCAACTTACATTTGATTCTATTACAAAATTCTCATCATGTAATGTACAAATTAATAAAAGTACAGACACAGGAAACACATTTTGGTATTAATGAATCATTTATACAAATAGAAGTATAGATGTTTTCATAAATCAACATCTCGATAAAAAATGTAATCAATTTCAAATAGTAACCATTATCATGGTACAATATATTTTACTGTATATATAAAATGAATAAAAGAATATCTTGTGTGGTAATATACAAATACAGTAGTTAAATTTTGATGAAGACAGGAGCATGAAAAAGAGGAAGATGCTTGTATGTATTTCCATATCTAGTTATTACCACAGTTTCCAAGGCATAAATCTTTTGGACTGTTTTGATGCAATAGTTTCATACCTCAAAGCTTTTATATAAACAAACCAGCATCACATTTGTCAGGCTGTTTGACTTCAGTCATATAACATCATACTCTGAATAATAATTAAACTTCACATCTGAACTTTCAAGACAATGGCTTCCATTGACAAAGATTTCAGTTTTTAGTTCTCTGATACAATGAGCAACTGTACACATATAGATAAAGAAAATACCTGAATTTACATATTAAATGAATACCTGATCAAAAAATTTTGATCTGAAGCATCCCTAGGAACATTGATTTGAGTAACATTTTGTGGTTTCAGATACTATAAAGAACTTAATTGCACTGCTAATTCTTACTGCCACATCTTGTGTACATTATGTAGATGCTGTGCTGTTTTTTTACTGAGGTTCAATGCAGCATGCATTTTCTGTACTCCTGGCTCCCCTAACAAAGACATCCCACACACTCCAAAGTAAGCATGTAATGCATCTGTAAAAAACAAACAAATTAACAATTACTTTTGAAAATGACAAGTATTATGCTGTACAGTTTATATGGTTGAACAATTAAAGGGAGATAAGTCTTTTAAAACATCAGTGTGTCTGATCTGTCAACAATCAACCAAAGCTCTGTACAGCTTTTATCATCAATATGAGAGCACATGTTGTTTTAGATGTTTGAAGGAAAGAGTCCACTGGGGAAAACAAACGTGCAGGTAGTTTGGAAACAGCTAACTGAACAAACATCATTCCCGATCACAGGCATCCTGAACCCATGTTCTAGAGGGAAAAGTTTCAAGCTCATTTAATTGATTTTGATTCAATATTTCACGATATCAGGCATACATATATATTATATGTGGGATGGGAAAACAAGTTTAAAGCTCCTACTAACTCTTTTAAACTTAATTGCACACATAACAATAGTCTAACTGTACCTACAATGAATTTAAAAGACATGAAAGCTAGTTTTTTCCTCAACTAGGTGCTGATATCACTGATATAACTAATCATACATATTTTAGAATAGAATCAGGTAATAGATTTACATGAAATGTGTGTTATATCAGACAACAAGATCATACACATTGAAATGACAAACTGTAATGACTGATGGATACTGTGACAGATATTGAAACAGATGGGTACTGTGACAAATGTACTATGATAGAGAAATACTGTGACAAATGTATACTATGATAGACAGATACTGTGACAAATGGATACTATGATAGCAAGTTACTGTGACAAATGGATACTACGATCGACAGATACTATGACAAATGGATATTACGATAGACAGATACTGTGACAAATGTTTACTATGATAGACAGATACTGTGACAAATGGATACTATGATGGACAGATACTGTGACAAATGGATACTATGATGGACAGATACTGTGACAAATGTATACTATGATGGACAGATACTGTGACAAATGGATACTATGATAGCAAGTTACTGTGACAAATGGATACTATGATGGAGAGATACTATGACAAATGGATATTACGATAGACCGATACTGTGACAAATGTTTACTATGATAGACAGATACTGTGACAAATGGATACTATGATAGAAAGATACTGTGACAAATGGATATTATGATAGACAGATACTGTGACAAATGGATACTATGATAGATAGATACTGTGACAAATGTATACTACGATAGAGATACTGTGACAAATGGACACTACGATAGACAGATACTGTGACAAATGGATACTATGATAGCATGTTACTGTGACAAATGGATACTATGATGGACAGATACTGTGACAAATGTATACTATGATGGACAGATACTGTGACAAATGTATACTATGATAGACAGATACTGTGACAAATGGATACTATGATGGACAGATACTGTGACAAATGGACACTACGATAGACAGATACTGTGACAAATGGATATTACGATAGACAGATACTGTGACAAATGGATACTATGATGGACAGATACTGTGACAAATGGACACTATGATGGAGAGATACTATGACAAATGTATACTATGATAGACAGATACTGTGACAAATGGATACTATGATAGATAGATACTGTGACAAATGTATACTACAATAGAGATACTGTGACAAATGGACACTACGATAGACAGATACTGTGACAAATGGATACTATGATAGCATGTTACTGTGACAAATGGATACTATGATGGACAGATACTGTGACAAATGTATACTATGATGGACAGATACTGTGACAAATGGACACTACGATAGACAGATACTGTGACAAATGGATATTACGATAGACCGATACTGTGACAAATGTTTACTATGATAGACAGATACTGTGACAAATGGATACTATGATAGAAAGATACTGTGACAAATGGATATTATGATAGACAGATACTGTGACAAATGGATACTATGATAGATAGATACTGTGACAAATGTATACTACGATAGAGATACTGTGACAAATGGACACTACGATAGACAGATACTGTGACAAATGGATACTATGATAGCATGTTACTGTGACAAATGGATACTATGATGGACAGATACTGTGACAAATGTATACTATAATGGACAGATACTGTGACAAATGTATACTATGATAGACAGATACTGTGACAAATGGATACTATGATGGACAGATACTGTGACAAATGGACACTACGATAGACAGATACTGTGACAAATGGATATTACGATAGACAGATACTGTGACAAATGGATACTATGATGGACAGATACTGTGACAAATGGACACTATGATGGAGAGATACTATGACAAATGTATACTATGATAGACAGATACTGTGACAAATGGATACTATGATAGCAAGTTACTGTGACAAATGTATACTATGATGGACAGATACTGTGACAAATGTATACTATGATAGAGAGATACTGTGACAAATGTATACTATGATGGACAGATACTGTGACAAATGTATACTATGATAGACAGATACTGTGACAAATGGATACTATGATGGACAGATACTGTGACAACTGGACACTATGATGGACAGATACTGTGACAAATGAATATTATGATATGATGAATGGTTACTGTACGATACTTTGATGGATGGATGGATACTGTGAAAGATGGTTACTATGATGGAGAGATACTATGACAGATGGATACTATGATGGATGGGTGGATACTGTGAAAGATGGGTACTATGATGGAGAGAGACTGAGACTTAGCAACACTGTGACCTGTTGTTTTGATAATATCTTTTAATAAATTCATCCTCATATGTAAACAAAAACAAGTCAGCCAACTGTGGAGCACAGATATTTCCCATTGGTATGCAAATAGTTTGTTGGAACAACTTACCTCCAAACTCAACACAGACCTTGTCAACCAGAAACTCATTCATCTTTATGATTTTTTCCTTCGTATTTGAATGATTTGGTTTTTACGATTTCATTCTCAAAATCAACTCTTATTTTATAACCTCTCATGGTTTCTTGCTTTGGAAAGTATCTTTTAACAGCTACAAGGGCTGACTGATAAGTGGTGAGTCTCATATTTAAGGGTTTGACTTTTGATAGACATATTGCATTATTTTTCAACAAGTTCCCCTTCAGTATCTGATGTTTGAGGGTCTCGGTGCAACTTTTAAAGACATTTTTGACAGTTCAGAAAGTCCTCTACTGTATGTATGTCTTAATCTAATTGAAAGTGGGTACCAGAAATGGCCTTTTCCAATTTTGGAAAGAGATGAAAGTCTGACGGAATGAGATAAGGCAAATAAGGTGGATGCTCAATCAATTGAAAACCACATTCGTTTGTGGCAGCCATGGCAATGACAGACTTGTGAAAATGGGTATTGTCCTTGTGAAACAATACACCTTTCATGAGTTTTCGCCAGAGCTGGAGTTTAATTTTTTCTCTTAACTGCCTCAGAATTAATGCATAATATGTGTCATTGATTGTTTGTCCCTTTTGCAGATAAACTACCATCAAAATACCATCAGCATCCCAGAAAATCGAGGCCATAACCTTTTCAGCTGATGGAACAGTCTTTGCCTTCTTCGGCAGGGGTGACCTGGGGTTCTTCCACTGTATAGACTGTTATTTTGCCCCTGGGGTGAAATGATGGACCTGGGTTTCAGCTACAGGCACAAACCTAATCTAAAATGTTCAGATTAGCATGCAACAAAGTCTGCCTGGTGTGCAACTGTCAGAAGTCTTGGTACCCATCGGACTGAGAGCTTTGTCATTGCATGATCTTGCGTAAGAATGAAATGTATTCTTTCCTCTGAAATTTCAATTGTACTGGATATATATCTTGCTGTAACTCACCTGTCAGACATAACAATATCATGGACTTTATTGACTTTTTCAGGGGTAGTGACAGGCCTGTTAGGATGGGCATCATTCCCAAGGCTCTTCCTGCCACGCTTAAATCCCGCAACTCACTTTTTCACTGTAGCATATGAAGGGACATCCATGCTAAACATCTTCAATGCAAGGCTCACAACTTATCAATCAGCTCTCATATGTCAAGATGTCTACCAACCTAGTCTATGTCTTATAACTGTGACATGAAATGTCTATCCATCAGGTGTATGATTGGTAACTCTGAAATGAAAAGTCTACCCACCAGGTGTATAATTGGTAACTGTGAAATGGAAAGTCTACCCACCTGGTGTATGGTCAGGCCACTTGGCAAATCCCCCAGTGATGGCTTGTTGAGTGGAGATTAGAAACCCTCTGTTAAAATCAGCATTACTTAATTTGAATATATCCAGCAGCTGAAAAAAAATCAATGAATACATGCTTGTATCTGTAATACATGTAAAGACACATTTGTTCAGAATGATGTTACTGAAGAATTACATGATGTCCAAGTCAACTTTTGAAAAAATCTTAATAATGAATGTGAAATGTAAATTAGTTACAGGAGAAAACCTCACAAGGGAAATAGGTAAGGGTCACAAAATTTTCAACCTCAGCTGCATATGACTTCAAATAAAACATTCCAGAATTAATATACATAGAAGGTACTCGGTAGTCTAAAGAATAAGGAGCTAGGTCAGCATACCTTTAGACTAGCACCGACCCAGAAGGAGTAACAGGTGTCCACTGGTTTATTGGGTCGGCCCTGGAAGCCAGTTTGTTGTCGAGCTATACACCACCAACGTAGTCGTTTTAACTCCTTAGCAGAAAAGGTTTCTTCTAGTCTACCCATCAATACCAGTGCAGCTAAACCACAGAATGTTGACCCTCCTGTAAATAACATGTAACAAAACCCTAAATACTGTCAAATTATTCATTTTCATGGAGTATTTATTTTCATTGATTTTGTTGGTTCTCTGGATCTCAATCTACAAACTTGTATGTCCACAAACTGTTGAAATAGAATAAGTAGCTTTATTGAGCAATATTTATCCACAAGCAAGAGTCCACAACACAGAATATTTTTGAAAAACCATGAAAATTGAACTCCACAAAAATATATGATTTTACAGTATATCAAAGATGTATTTTCATGATTTAATGAAAATTTTAATGATCTGAAACCTTTTGTTTCCATTTGATCTTTTTACTTTTAAAATTAATTAACTTGTGATAGTGGTTATACTTTTAGAATTAGTGTAATCAAGCATTAAATTAACTTTAGCAAATAAAATTTGAGAAAATACATTGTCAAGAGAAAGTGACAAACAATTTCCATTTGCAAAGAATATTTGAAACTTAAAGTGAATATTACTTATTTAACGTCATGATCAGTACTGCTCATAATGAAATGTGAGCAAGATAACATGTCAGTGTTCAACAGGTAATTTGTATCATAAAGCAAACATACATTGTTGTACCATATATCGAAAATACTTGTATAATAAATAGGATGACAAAACATAGAAAATAATACCATGAGCTTCCAATCCTGGTCCCTGAGCTATCCCACCTTCATAGGTCTGTAAAAAAAAAAAAAAAAATTTATAAAGACTAATGGCTAATTTCTAAACAGATATCAATAACAAATGTCCCTCATGCTTAAAAAACTTCAAAAGGTAAACAGAACTACAGTAACACTAAATAAGATCTAGTTTTAATACAGTAAAAAACCCACATAATATGCCCTGGTACTTTTTTGGTCTGAAAATGCTGAAAAAGAGTTTCTACTCTCGTAATGTTTGCATCCAAACACTCAGTCAAAAACTATTCCTGGGAACTAAGAAATCAATCTCAGAAAGTTCACCTTACACATCAGATCAACTATATACAAAGTCCAAAATTATGAAATCATTCTCGTCAAAATTTGTTTTTATCACGATTTTTGACTTTGAATGAACTTACTGGTTTTCTATTTTATTACTGGTTCAACACAATTGAAAAAATAAAATAGGTTAAATTTGTGCACTTCTTATCAGTAATATTGTTATTTTGTTAAACCTTTTTACTGAATCTACTTTTGTGGTAGGTAAATGTATCTAATTACCAATATTGGTTTTCATTTGATTCCTGGTCACGAAAATTCTTGTAAGAGAAAAAACACTTGTATGACTAATTCTAAAGAGAAATTTTAGTGTTTGATAGCAAAAGTCGAAAGTAAAGGGACAACTGAACTCCTGACTGTTAAAAAGTTCACTGTTGAAGTACTGTTACTTGGGATTTATAGGTAAAATAGGGAAAAAAATAGAAAATGAACTTAGTAAAATATTGAAGGAAGGGAGACAACTCACTTGGCTATTTTTGATAAAGTTAACAGCTTTTTCTGTGTCTATGCTACTCCAATCTCTGATCATGTAACAAGTACAGGCAGCACAGTAAACAAACCGCATGTCATTCTCACTGCCCTCTGGTACACAACAGAAGCTGAAAAACAAAAAACAAAGTAAACCAATGGCTAAACAAACACAACCTGAATCTCAAAAACCCATGTAAATCTATGGCTAAACTAACTCACCTTGAATCTCAAAAATCATGTAAATCTATGGCTAAACTAACTCACCCTGAATCTCAAAAATCATGTAAATTTATGGCTAAACTAACTCACCCTGAATCTCAAAAATCATGTAAATATATGGCTAAACTAACTCACCCTAAATCTCAAAAATCATGTAAATATATGGCTAAACTAACTCACCCTGAATCTCAAAAATCATGTAAATATATGGCTAAACTAACTCACCCTGAATCTCAAAAATCATGTAAATATATGGCTAAACTAACTCACCCTGAATCTCAAAAATCATGTAAATATATGGCTAAACTAACTCACCCTGAATCTCAAAAACCCATGTAAATCTATGGCTAAACTAACTCACCCTGAATCTCAAAAATCATGTAAATTTATGGCTAAACTAACTCACCCTGAATCTCAAAAATCATGTAAATATATGGCTAAACTAACTCACCCTGAATCTCAAAAATCATGTAAATATATGGCTAAACTAACTCACCCTGAATCTCAAAAATCATGTAAATATATGGCTAAACTAACTCACCCTGAATCTCAAAAATCATGTAAATCTATGGCCTTACTAACATAACCTGAATCACTAACACCTTAACAGTAATTTGACAGATAACATCCATCATGTTTATTTGTTTTCCTATGATATAACCTTCTCAAATCATCAAAATCATCTTCTTTTTCTGAGAAATCTTACTCATTAAAGATGACTTAGTTTACATCTAAAAAAATATATAACATTGAAGTAAGAAAATGGAACAGCTGATCAAGATCTTTGGGAAAAATATATTCTGGTAAACACCTACAGAACAACAAACTTTGGACATTACCTGCCATCTTCCTGTTGCAATGATCTTAAGCCTGCGGCTAAAGCTCTCTTGTTGACCTTTGAAAGGTCATCTCCAAGGATGAGTAGGGATGCCAAGGCGGTGTAGGTCATAGCAATGTGACCACTGTCAAGCTGTATTGGCTGTAGTCTTGCCTGTAGTACATAAAGTAAATGTCATATACATGTACATCTTGTATTTTGATTTATTTCACATTCACCAGAGCAGATAACATTTTATAAGCCTTTGTTACTAATTTTCATTTCACATTATGATCAAGATATCAATATACATGTAAGAAAACAACAATGACTATATATATATATATCTGTGTTTACTTTTTCTGTGTCAAATGCATTCCCATTTGTTGTGGAACCTCTGAATCCACACTGGCCCAGGTTAGAATCTGTAAGAAAAGGAAAATAACCTTTCTTTTTCATTTGAACACATCTGTAGGAAAGTTAAGTAAATAAAATGTGCTAACATTGGAATTCATTGATCATCACAAGAAGTTTCATCCAGACAAAATCAAATTAATCCACATTTTGATCAACAGTTTCCCCAAATGATAAATCATATGTAGAGTGATCCCAATGGTGTCAATCAGCTAAACTCCTTACATGAATAGTTATTGCTTTGGTTTTGTTATTACTTTCAGGTGTACACCTTACAATACTATTTTAAGATACTTGGTAGGGTATAACTTCCAATAACTTACATAACTCTTGTAACAATAATCATTAAAAAATTTATTGCAGAAATATTTACCATCATCTGTAGGGAGAAGTTGTAATGAATAGATCCAATCTATTATCTCCTTTTTATGCTTCTCTATAACATGCAATGAATTCAACATATCAAGTCCTGATAAGGCAAAAAAGGCTACTGTCATTCTGAAATACAAAGGAAAAATAATCAGAAAATTTCAACTGGCACATGAAAAACAACAAGAAAATACAAACAAGTCACCATAATCATTACAAACTTAAATTCAATTAACTAGGGCAAAATAGGAACAAAAGAATGATTTACAAGGAGACTTAAAAAAAGTTGGCAATACACAAAGGCAAGACTTTGCAGGAAATAGAAATAGCAAACTATAGTTATCAAAATCTGAGATAAATACATGTTGAAGATCTCTGTTTCTCCAATCAGTCTAGAACAATTCAGTACTACTTGAAATTCAAGACTGATCCAGAAATTCTTGTGAAAACAAACATTAAATGTTAAAATCCAAGAAAGTCATCCATCAGCCATTCTTTTTATCAGTTTCAAAGTTGAAATGGCAATATCTATAAAATTTAAGAAAGATTCATTGGGTACTAAAGAAATAGTGATAATAAATTTCAATCATTAAAATTCAAGATGGCTGCTTGTTCGCCGTCTTGTTTCTCCAATCAAGTCTTCAACAATGCACAACAAGGAACATATACGGTACAAATGAAATTTGAGACTGGTTCAGTACTTACTGAGAAAAAGTTGAAAACAAACATTAACTGTTAAAACAAAGATGGTCATCTGTCAGCCATTTTCTTAATCAGTTAAAAAATGTTAAAATTTGCACTACCAGAAACCGAAGGAAACTTTGATGTGAAATCTGAAAATTAAACATCCACATGTTCTTAAGAAGAAGTTAGTTTTGGAACAACTAAACTTAGATATGAAAATATATGAATCTTATAGACTCACTAAAATATTGATTCCTCAACATAAAACTCTGATAATTGTTCCACTAGGTAACAAATACTTGCTAGTACCCAGTATGATGATTTTGTAGAAACTGACTGATATAATATCCTCTATTCTTCATACATTTAATTCTAATTGATATGACCTCAATAGGAGATCTTAAATAGGTTTAAAAAAATTTAATAAAAACTCTTCAATTGACAATGTCATAAGGACATGTTTGATATAAGACATCATGATAGTGATGTTACACCTATCTTATGATATTTATGATATAGCATTTTGACATGACACAACAAACCAATTGTGTATAATGTCTAGAGAAATACACTGTAGACCTTTAAATAACATAATCGTATAATCGTAGCATACAACAGATACGACAACACTAGCTGCAACCACAAGTCATAATGTTCAATAGAGTCAGGGTAAAATAATAAGAGCGATACTTGGTAACATGCGTAATGTTTCGATAACATCAAAGATGAAAAGTCCCAAGAATTGATCCATCCTGGAATTCTACTGTAAGAGAAAAGAGTGGAGCAAAGATGCTCTGCACTTTACCCATAGCTAATGTTAATCAAAAATACAATGACAACAATTTTGCTTTCCAGATTTTGTCTTCCTTTAAATTTTATCTAAATAAAAAGAAAATTTTACACAATGAAACTGGCATGAATTATAATTATTTAGTACATTTATACAGTATAATGCCAATCACTATCATGACATCACAACATGTACACAAGCACACAAAACGTCAATGTCACAATAACTGCATGATCAATCACGCGCTGTAGCATACTAAATTTTCTACATTTCTTGAAACAGTAACCACGTAAAGAAAATTTATTGGAGCTTTATTTTCTTGATACTTATTTTAACAAATACATTTTAGATCTCACAAATATAAAGCAATACAAAATTAAAGTCATTCGGCGGAAACAAAGTAGACCTATTTAAGTCCTTAACTCAGCAAATCTTCACAGAATTGATCTTATAGATATAAAACCATGAAATCACATCTTGTTCAAATCTTGATGTAAAAAAATACATATGTAGCAGAAATGAAGAAAATTTGGTTAAAATCCGACGAAAAATACTATAGTTATTCAACAGAAATCCTAAAACTGACCAACAGACCAAAAGCAATATGCTTCTCTATTTTCGATCTCGGGGATATAACAACACGGTTACCTATATAAATATACTGTGTAGTTAATATCACCAAGGACTTAGATATACTAGGACCTGTAAATCACATGTTACCGTTGTCACCAGACGAAATCATGGGGCTTGGTCAGTCAGCTGATTCTGCTTACTTTGAGATTGTCCATTTCAAACAATTTTCTTTCCTGAAACTCATCTCTATTTGAAAAGCACACTATACCTGTTACTATCTAACGAAGAATATCTCTCAGGTAATATCTGAAGACATCTTTCGAAGAATTTTATATGCCTAGACTTCAAAAATGCATTCGGATCCATTTGGTACTTTATTATCTCTCGACACATAAGAGTTCTGATGCATTGTCGTAGATGAGCGATTTCAATCCGATAAGTTCTACGCTCATAAGGGACAGGTACTATTTTTCTTTTCTTTTTTTTTCCCCATTTTTTTTCATCAAGTACTGATTTTCAAACTAACTTATCTAATAAATACCTTATTTCAGCATAGCTTTTTAGTTATACTGCTTAGAAAGACAGTTGTTTCAGTCTGTGAAATATTCTAGTTATTATAGGAATAAAATAGCAGGAATCAAATATACATGTGATATAACAGCTAAATTTCACCCACAGAACGTGTTCTGGCCACTGTTAAAGCACTGGAAAATGGTTTAAACTGCCAGAAGAGGCACTTATATCTGGAAACAAATAACTTAATTTGATTACTTCCTGATACAAAAAGTGCCAGTGCCTGTTTCAAATGAAAACAGCAATCCATATCATGTTAATCGTGTTTGGTCTTATTATTCAATATATCTTATCAGGTTATATGCATAGCCAAAGTTAATTTAATATTTATTTGGATGATTAATACAAGTTTTTCGTCTGCATTCTTCCACTCCATCAATGCCAAAGAAAACCAGTAATTCAGGTAATGTATTTAAATCAATATTTACATTCATTAAGAAATGCAATGTTCTTTTTATGTAAATATTTCACTTATAATTGAATATACTGTTAAGTTATACTGTTAAGCCATTTTTTCAGTAATCAAATAAACTTTTAGTCCTGCTCAGTTCTCTACAGTGAAATGTTTATTGAACATTAATCTATGGGAGATAACTCTTTACAGCCTATAACACAAGCTCTCTCTCTCTCTTTACCTTCCAAGAGCTAAAAAATCTTCAAGTCTGTTAATCCTTTAACGACAATGTGAAATCAATATCTCTCCACTGTAGTAATGAATACAGTCAGTCTACAAATATCATAAACATAGAGAGGTATCTAGTTTCTTTTATTCAGAAGAATTTTTTTAAAAATACAACTGTAGTTATTGACTTTGAAATATCGATATCTCTAATATCCTTTCACAAAATAGAAAGTTAAGTGATAAAATCTTTCAGAATAAATTGTAACAAATGAAAATATGTCCAACACAAGAAACACAATTTATATATTTAAGTTTATTTGTAAACATATTCTAATACATCTGTAAACAACAATGTTGTTATCACATTAAATTTGCATAGTAATATTGCAACTTCTTACTGTTTGTCATTTTGAATTGCTGTATTGTAAGGGGTAACTAGTATTATCTGTGTCTGCTCCTTGACCTGCTCCTTGACCTGCTCCTTTTGTGTCTTGCTCTATACTCCCTATCACGTTCTCTGTCTCGAGAACCTGGTGACCTATTACTGTCCCTAGTGTCACTATAATCCCTATCAATGCGTCGGTACCCATCTTTACCCTCTCTAGACCTTTCAGTCACTAATCTGTCTTTTCTCTCCCTGTAATCACTATAGCTTTGCTTATTCTCACTTAGCCTCACAGACTGAGAAAAATCACTACTATCCCTGTCCCTATGTTTTTGTCTTTCCCTTTCCTGGTATTTTCCAGTGGAGGACCTGTCAGGAGAATCTTTCCCAAATCTATCTTGTCGTCTTCCATCATGTCTATATTCTGATCTTGCACGGAAATCATTATGGAATCTTGTTCTATCTCGTGCAGAATATTCAGATCTTAATCTATTTTCAATATCCAGGGGTTTTCTGAAGGGTCTGTCCTTGCCACCAAACCTCAGCTGACCAGACTCCTTTTTACCTCCTAGTCCACCACCCAGACGTCTTGGTATCCATCCTTTCACTTTTCTCTCACATTCAAAGTCTACAAAAATTTCACAGCCTTCAAGTTCAGTTTTATCAGCATCTTTACTGGCTCTGTATGCAGACTTTTCACTCTGATACTCTACAAAAGCATAACATCGTGAATATCCAGTTACTAAGTCTCTCACCAATCTTAATCTTTCAATATCCCCATACTTTGAAAACTTTGACTCAATCGTATCCTCTGTAGTCTTTGGATTAAGTCTAGCAATGAACACAGTCTTTTCTGGATTTCCTATAACATCTTTGTTAGGTTTATATTTAGCATTCATTGCTCTGACAATGCCTCGATCATGAGGGTCCTTGTCGGTCGTATCAATGCTGCCTGCTCTCAGCGGATCATATGTTGTAGCAATAGGTGACCACGTGTCACACGCCATCTTTGCTGTGAAAAAAGAAAATGAAATTTCTTACATGGCAATTTAGATTACACTCAAGTCTTTTTAACTTGTAATTATATAATTGACAGTGCAATATTTTAATTGCTGAAAACTTCTGAAAGCTATTTCAGTTGAGATTATTTTTCCCTCCAAGAACTTTACAACCTGATTAAGGCATCTGGAGTATAATGGTTTTACTTGAACATCTATGAACTCACAGGCATATCTCTGAACAAATTTACTAATTTATATGAAAACAAATACTTACATAAACACTGAAAAGATATTATTTCAGCATGCAATACTTTATGTTTTTGAAATACACACTATCTACTTCACTGAAATAGACATATTTCACTGGCCAACACACCTAGGGCCCATATGCACTTCAGCTTGGATCCATAAGAAATTTACTGATTTTTATGCATTTGTTATATTATTCCTTTATTTTTACAAATAAGAACGAAGCAGTCCCAAATGCTGATTTATATCTTATCTATTTCTTGAGTCTGACAGTACCTAGAAAACTTTATGTTGATGAAAGTCTATAGAAAAAAAAACATACATAAAGTTTAGTTAACTGGTTAGTACTTCAAAATGAAGAGAATTTGGCAAGCTACAGGAGTAATCAATCACTCAATAATTGTGATGTTGATATTTTGTGGGCTTGTATTTGTTGTGACATCATGATATTGGTTGCCATTTCTTACCAGTGCCAATTTCATTTGTGCATGTAAAATTAAAAATTAAAAACAATGTAAACTGAATTTGGGAAATCAAAAATGCTGTCAGTATTTTTCATTTGTAAAATTAAAAATAAATTACTTCATTTCTTTCGACTTTAAGGAGAATTTTACTCCGTTACATCAAGTATTTGTAGACAAAATGTTTCGCACATGGTACAGAGCTTCATTCCGGTGCTTTCAGCATCTGATTGCTCTTAGAAATGATCATAGAATGTCAGTCTCAGACAGCTTGTCAGTGTTACCAGAGACGTATATATCACATATATACGTCTCTGGTGTTACAAATAAGCACTTTGCTGGGCATTCTGTGCCATGTTCTCAATCATCTGGTTTCAAACTGGAATAGAGAGTAAGTACTGGTAGACCGTGCTTATGCTTTACTGTAGAAGTGTTTGTAAGCTTTATAGATGTCTGGATGTGGAATTTTACCCCCTAAGCGATTGATTGACTTTGTAAAAACATATCGAATGTCCGTCGAAAACGTACGGAATTACCTGTATATTGAATACTATAATAGTGAATCTTTTAATCCCTTCTGGGAGTCCTCCTTTGGACTCACTTATATCGGACGTTTGACGATGTCCCTCGTCCGAGAAAGGATTAGTGGACTTTTGTGACTCAGTTATTTGAGTGCTGGACTCGTGGTTTTCCTGTGGGACTCACTAAAATTTTTGAGGACCCACTATAACTCTTAGCACTTGGACTCATCAAAATTTTGGAAATGGTGTTCTAGACTCACTCGTAAAAATCTTACAAAAATTACCGTTGTTGAGTTGAGTCGTCTGCTCCGGAGTTACTACTTCATTACCTAAACGGAAGTTCTTTATCAGAAACGCAGGGCCGCTTTCCTTTATCCGGTCGTAACGGTAAGCAGGTGGTACGGTTTCGTTCCAAATAAAGAACAGGCTCGAACCGCGTTTTCGTTCCAATATGGCGACGAATGACAAACTTTACCAGACACTTCAGTTTGAACATTTGTATTTTGAAAGATTTCTAGTTTCTGATACATTGTTTTCGGACATCGACAATAACAATGACTTGGTTACAGCATCGTTTTGATTAGAACAAAAAGACTCTTAAATCTAATGCCGATTTTACATATTTTCAACAAATAATAATATTCATTGACAGACTATTCAAGTTCTACATTGTAAGCTCTCCTGCAAAGTCAATACAAGGTGAGGAAATCTAATAAGATCAATTTTAGATAAGACTAAAACATAAGTATTTATATTCTGATTCAGCTACATATCATTTTGCTTTTTTTATTATTATTATTATCTAAATATCCACTAATTATCTAAATATCAAGACAAATCAACGCATATTGTACACATATTTTGAGGAATTTTTTCGTCATGTTATTGTTAAATTATTTGTTAATCGAATGAGTATAGAATTCAGTTACCATAAATATTTCACTTGGATATCAGAAACTTGTGTATTACAGTGGGTTTTTTTATCCATGTTTGAAACAGAGACGTATATATCACATATGATATATACGTCTCTGTTTTTTAAATAATTTAATATGCAAGATGAACGTAGTAGATTTTATCATCAAAATATTGACTTGAAACTCGGACTTCGGTATGTAATGCATGCTGAACATATGAAGATAAATACTTATTTTGCCTGAAATGTGTTTTGTTGCTATTCAAACTCGCGAAATAATGTCATGATATTAATTAAAAGGCGCCAGACTTGGCTGTTTTCCATCATATACACCAATATACACCTGGAATCTATTCTTTCTTTGTACGGATGTTAGCATATATGTAGAAATTATTATTGTCAATTTCTGCGAAGTTCCAGCTGCATTTGTTTACTTTCCAACCAGAGCCGTCATCTTGGTTCCGCCTGGAGCCTTCAGTTGAAGTGTGCCAGAAATTAGCCTCTGATAACGTTCCGGAACGAAAACGAACCGGAAAAATCCGTTTATTGGTTTACCGGTTGGTCCGTTACAACTGCATAAACGAAAGGGTCCACTACTATATATTTTGCGACATAGATATTTAACAGTAATCAAAATCAAAGCAGTTATGTTCCTTTTTTTCAAAGTCTAATATATTAGATATCTATTCTGTATACTATTGATAAAATCACAATTAAAATTATACGTAACTATGTCGTTATCAAGTGACAATTATCTTGCTCAATCCTACGCTTTAAGTCTGCACACGGCACGTGTTGATCAAGCGGCTGATTGACCGAGACAGAGGATAATTGTTGCCCGGTTTACGACACTCATGCTCCAAGGAGATCGATCGCTCTGACATAGAAAGTCAAACCGAGAAAATTTTCTGGAAAACCAGCGTTTTTGCGAAAAGAAAGTAAGTCGAATAAGCCATTATTTCATTTATTGATTAATTTTCGCTTTTATTTCAGCTCTATAGGTTGTAAATGACTTTATATATGTTCTAAAATTTACAGCAAACGTCCTGTGATGGACGAATCGTGATGGAAGCTTAGACCAAATTCAGCATCAGAAACAATTCCAATATTCATGATGATATTCAACGCTATATTCCTAAGTGTTGTTGCTTACGATGTTTTTTTATTGTTATGGCATATATTAATGGTATTATATTTCAAAGTACATAGACCAGACCATTTTCTTAGGGGGAGAGTGTTGCATCATAATTTGTCTTCATCAAAGGAGAGCTGGATTATTTGCTCTAACTTGCGGCTTTTTAATTACCGAATATTAACACATCGTAGAAGTTGTAAACGCATGTTACATGTAGTAATGAGTTGTTAAATTGTAATTTCAACAATTTTATTTTATAAATATATTGTATAGAATGTGATTAGATAGCAGGCAAATCTTACATTAAGGTTCTCAATTTCTGGTTGTAAATATACATGATTACAAACCAAATATGACTTATTAAATAATGAACTAAGATTATAATAGATCTCAAACTTTTTAACTATATTACCATTTGATCTATTATGCATAGAACACATATATCATAGCATTATTATTCAGTTATTGTTAGATTTGACATATGAGAAATGGTAATACATTTTTGCAGACAAACATCCTACATGAACTAATACATCCAATCAATATTCACTTTTGCACACATAAAACATAAGACATACTGAATTGATATACATGCACACTGTACTACAATTCCAACTATACAACATTCAATATACATACATGAAAGAAGGCATAGTAAATTTGATAACAACATCCAAGACCACTTCTATTTGTTTGACAATCTAAGGAATTATTTTGATGAAAGCTTGTAAAATACATAATCATATGTAAACTTAGGGTTAAAAAGGTAATTTCAATTGTTTTGCAAGAGGAGATATTTTGTTATGGATGCTTGGAATTTGGAGTTTTTTCATTACTTTTAACTTATATAGATATTTTCATGCTGTCAGAGTGCCTCAATAAAGTGAAGTATCAAGTTGAAAAAAAAATCTAAACTTAACTAAAAGAACAAATATATATATATATATATATATATATATATATGTCACTTTGTTGTTATGATTTTAATTAATATTTAATGACTAAGGATGATCGTCATAATCCCATTCAAGGTAACTTAAATATACTTATCCAACCGACGCCAGTATGTTTAATGAAGAGATCATTGAACATTAACAACTATTTTTTATGTTTTCTTGTTTTCAGAGTTGTCCCAATGATATGTCTTAAAATGCTTTTATTTATTATGTATATAGATCTTTATTTATATCCTTATTACATCTTTAGCTAGATGTTTGTTACATTGGTAATTATATAACTTGAAGGTCATCTGGCAAGTGTTCTGGAGTTTTAACTATTTAATTTTTGCACTAACTTCAAATAAAATTTATTCAACATGATTTATCAAAGTGCATTCTGACACCACTCTATGTGGCATATCTTAGGAAACTGTCCTGTGCACTAGCACCACAATCAGAAGATCACCAATTTTCCTTTAAAATTCAGAAAATGCCAAGTTAGCTTAAATTCCACATAATTCCATGGGTTTTGGTTGTTGACGTCCTTGATTCTGTATTCTGACAAAGTACCTCTCATAAAACAAATGATATTTTGCCATGCAGCATCTGTTGTTCATACCAAGGACATTCCGACATGTGGGTATAGTGAGTGGCATGGTCTAAACCATTATAACAACCCTCTAATTATCAGTCACATCACATGAAGGAAACTGTGACAATGAAAATATTATCATTTACAGCAGGGGGCATTCTAATCAATACAGGTGCTAACTAACAAATTTGAAGAATTGTGATGGCTGAATGTTACAAAGAAACAGTTTCTGTCAGAAATCATTCCTTGGTATAATCCTCTTTTTTCAAAAATGAATACGATTGCTTGCATCAAAATGACAAATTTTGCAGATAAATTTGTTTTTCATTTCAATAGTAAAACAGCAGAATGTGAATTAATTTTTGTAACTCTTTAAAATGGTCCTTTAGGTGCATTGCACATATATATATATCTAGAGGTACCTCAAAATCAGAGTGGGTACATGTGTGATAATGTTGACAATAAATGTCAAAATGATCAAGTATATTATGTATTATTTTTAAAGGGAAATTTTGCATCTTTTAAATAATTTTATTTGCAATTATGCTTTCATGAAAATAGACCACCTAAATTTTATCTTCTCAAGTATATGCAAACATTTTCCAAGCTCAAATATGAAACTTATACATGTACCTGGTCTGTGCTATTGCTATTACCAATGAGTTTTCCAATCAGTTATTGCATTATTTTGCTTGTGCTAAGCTAGATATATTTTAATTTGCAACATACTGTTTTTATGAAGAGAAATGTTAGAAAAATTGAAAACAAATGTATTTATTTAATGTGATTTGATAAAGTGTACATGCTTACATTCAATTATACTTACAGTATGTATCAGGTGTTGTGGTGTTCACCCAGGTGTAGGGTGTAAGTATTGCCTGTGTTTCAACCAGGCAACACCCAACACCTGCGAGATGAGTGTAGGGGATTATGATTATACAACAAGTGTGAATGTTCACAGTTGGAATTTGTAGTGATGACCAGATTTTACAGCAGAACAGTACATGTTGAATTAGCAACCAGTTTCGTTTCTGATGAAAGCTTGTTTATTAGTGCTGTAGCTGATCAAAAATCAATATTTACAAGCTCATTGTTGTTTTTAATTTTTCATGCAGAACCATTTAAAAACACAACACATTTACACTTAGAATTTACGGTGTAGTAAATATTTGTATTGAAAATATTGCCTTTAGAAAATTTTAAAAATTCATTTAAAAGTACATGTATTACCTATTATGCACAGCATAAATTATAAGGTCTGTTAAAATCATTGATAATCTAGGATTCATATTCAGATGTATTGCTATTACATATACAATATTTTATGCTAACTGCTGTCTCTAACCGAAAGGTTTTATTAAGTATAATTTTTTTTTCTATTTAAATTAGTATAATAAGTATATCCTTCCATGGGTATAATTTTATTTGTGCTCATACACCTTAACTTGAGGAACTTCTTGATAAGCTTCAATAAACGATCAACAATAATATTTTACCTGTTAGCTTCAGTCTGTATTATAAACCAGAGGAGTCATCTGCTCTTGTAACAATGGTCTCATTTCCCTTGCTACATTAATGGTATTGTCAGTCATACACCTGTACATTATTATTCTCTGATTTTATATGAAACTGCACTTACTGAAAATACGAAAGGTCGAGGAAAAGTGTGATTTGAACCTAGATAATGAGATACTTCTTGACATATTTTGCTGTGATATTGCTTTGCAGATTTTGAAAATACAGTGTACTTGAACTAAACTGATATCCTTATTTGTGGTAGATCTAGTTCATTAAGGTTATGTTTAATTACTTTAAAATGTTATTTGTGCAAACAAAAATCAAACTATGATTAAAACAAAACAGCAGTTTTTCCTTTTGACCTGCCCCTTTGTTCTGACATTATCTTCATAGACTATATTAGGGCAGACCTCATGTACATTACATCCATGCTGGTGAGAAAAAATATATAACAATGGTATCTTTATCAAGAGCTACAATTTTAAAAGCCAGGTAGTACAGTGTTTACATACGTGCCAACATTTGTTATTGCTGGATCTATGGGATATAACTGTTTTATCGGTAAATTCTAACAACCCTGTCTGCTGTTTGCTGAATCTCCAATATATCAACCAGAAATACTCAACATTGCTACATGGAATTCTAAGGACAGCATTTTGTACTTGTCTTGTACAAGAATTCAGTGAAATAAATGTTTTTCTTTTTTTTTTTTTTACAGTGTCCAAGTCTGAAACGGAAGCAGTTTCAGTGCCACAGGAGGTTCATAGAACCCCTGAACCTACGCCTGCAGAAGGCCAGGCTCAAAACGTGGAGCTGCAGGCAACAGCTCTTAGCAATGGCTTTCACATGAACACTTCTGGTGATGGTGAAGTGAAATGCCAGGCATCTGATGAATATGCGAAGTCTAAATGTGATACAGACAGTGAGTTAACACAGAAAGAATTAGGTGCTACCAAAGACAATACTTCCTTTGAACCAGATAGTGCCCAGAGGGCACCTACCTCTGCAGAGGCTCCATCTGCTCATGTTGCTAAGGCAACTGAAACACATCAACCAGGAGAGGCTACTGCAGCAGCAACAGCACAGGCAGCAAGTGCTGCAGACACACAGCATCCTGAGGAAGCATCAGCAGGCACATCTGACACACATGGCTCTGAGGAAGCATCAGCAAGCCCTTCTGTAACACAAGGTTCTGAGGAAGCATCAGCAAGCCCATCTCAAACACAAAGCTCTGAGGAAGCATCAGCAAGCAGATCAAACAAGGCTGAGGAACAGAATGATGCAGCCTCTGTGAGGGCAGAATTAGAAAAGGAGAAGGAAATTGACATCTTCGGAAATGGACTCCTTGTAAAGAAGGTGGGTAATCATGTTTTATATTTTATATGGTAATGTGTCATATTCCATAATTTATGAGAGTTTATATAATAAACTAGGTTCAAAATCGATATAACCTGTCGGCTACAAAGAAATACTGTAATGTCAGTGTAGACAAGAGAGACTGTCATATTTGGAGGCAATCCATTCCTTTGTCAAGACACTATAATATTTCATTATAAAGAAAACAGGGAAATGATGGACTAAATGTCTTCTGCTCAGATCACATGTATACTTAACCAGGTACAAGGTAAATTTACCTGGACCTTCAGGGAATATACAAGTATGTATTACTAAAATGAAGACTTGACTATAGTACAATTATGTAAATCTCAGTCAATGCCTTACTCTCATCAGCTCACTGACAGTAATACACCAGTTATCAGCCCACTAGCTAACTTACTCTAATTATCAAGCCACTGGCTCACTTTTAATATTTGCTTCCTTTTCAGGTGATCCGTAAAGGTAGCTCTGATGAACGTCCCAATGATGGCGATACATGCACCATCAACATTGAAGTCAAATTGGCTGATGGCACACTTGTAGATCAAATGGAGAAATTCAGCTTCTTCCTCGGAGAACACGAAGTGATGCTTGGTAAGTAATCACATGGATTGTTTGTTTAATTTTTTTGTTGCCGTTTTAACATCCAGGGTAATGTTTTAGGTGGTGGAGAGCCATTTTGAAGTGGAACCTATGTAGTAACTGTTAGCTAATCTCACTGAACATGTAAGCAGATGGCCTGTCACATGCAATCCAGGGCACTCTGATATGGAAAACTTTTCTTCTGAGGACATATATTTATGTCATCAGACATATATATAATATTACCATTAACCTTTCCTCTATTTTTTTTAATTCTGTCACACCATATTGCTCGAACTTATGCTCATGAGGAATTGATCCTTAATTACAAAGGATAAAAACAACTATAAGTATCAAATTGTATTTGTTGAGTCTTATGCTATTTTTCTTGCAGCCCTTGATGTTGGAATCAAATTCATGTACATTGGAGAGATCAGTGTCTTTCGCACAGATGCCAAATATGCCTATGGAGAAAGAGGAAGGTAAGTCAGGTGTAGCTGACATACAGTTATGTTGAAATTCAGAGTAAAAAGGATTTCTTAAATCATACAACCCACTTATATAAGAGGGGGATATATAGTAATTACTTTTACAGCCATCCATGCACAAATTTAGTTCATATTCATACCATAGTAACATTCTACCAAAGTCTACACTTGATTTAAACAGATTTTGGTGATCAACAGTCAAGGAAGTAAGGTGTTTGAATTTGAAAGAAAATGTTTTTTTAATATCTAAAGCCATCTACTTTTCTTATGTAGCTTATAATTTGCCATATTCATAGTTTATAAATGATAAATACTCAATGGTCGCAAGTGTCATGTTCTTATTCCATTTGGTTTCCAGGGACCCAGATATTCCAGCCAATTCCTCCTTGGTTTTGACTGTGGAACTCGCTCAAGTTTTCCCAGGTGTTGACAGACAGAAGCTCTCAGTAGACCAGCGTCTGGCCTTGGGGTTTGTTTATTTTTGTCATTCACCTGAAAATTTTCTGAATTAATTGTATGACTCGTTTTTTGTATGAAATATAGTAGCCACAGCCTTATGTCCCTGTCTGAAGTTTCAGTAAAGATTACATCTATCCACGATCAAATTACACCTAATAGATTTATAGAAAACATTGTGATGTTAGCCATAATGGCAGGCTTATGAAAAATTATGTATAATGCTATGCTAAACTAAGTAAGTATTTGTCTTGTATTTTATGTTTGATAGAGAAAAGAAACGAGTGAGAGGAAATCAGCTGTATTCATGGAAAGATTATCCAACAGCTATTGAGGTCTACAGTCGGTATGTACACAGACATTAATTGATATATAATATTGTATGGAGAATGTTAAGATACGATGACATGTGTTTTTTATGTGTCACCAAAAACAATTCATCCTAAATTAGAATATGGCTTTGGCATAAAACAAAAATTGGAAACTGTAAAATTAGAAGATAAAAATCCATAGTAATACACTGTAACAATGAAAGCACAAAATTGAATTGTTAGTCTGAAGATGCTTCAGAATTAAACAATAAGGTTTTAATTAAAATGTGCAGGGCTCTAGATCTTGAGATACATCTTGTTCTTTCTTTTCATTTTTAGGGCTCTTCACATCTTGGACCCCCAATCTGGATCCTTCACAGAAGCACCAGAGAAACTACAAGAGTTTCTGGACTGTCGCGTCAAATGCTACAACAACATGTGTATATGCCAGATGATGGTAAGAGGTTTTTTAATTCAGATTGTTTTGTAGCTGCAGATCAAATGAGAAAGTTCAACATCTGATACAACAAGATAGTGTATCCCCAGATAGTGTAAAACATCTGATATGAGGAGGTGTAAAATATCTCTAGAGAATCTAACACATCTGATACAGAGTGATAATGCAAAGTGTCTTGAAAAAATCTTAACACATCGGAAACAATAATATACAATAAAATATTTTGAGAGAATCTTCTGCTAATAACACATCTGATATAACAAGATAGTGTAAAATATATCATAATATAGTGTGGAACATCTCCAGAGTTCTGTATCAACAACAATTATTTATGAAATGTTGAAATCCTCTTTGACAGCTTGGCCATCATGAAGCTGCAATTAAATCAGCTAACGAAGTCTTGAATGTACAGCCAGACAACTGGAAAGCTCTCAGCCGTCTTGGCAAGGTAAATCTAACATCTCCTAGTAAAATTAGCCTGACAAAGCTTTGTTGTTTATTGAATGCTTTCATACTACATTGTCCAATATCAATATATGGTAGAAAATCAACTCTTAATGTTGATAACATAATGTGTGCAGAATTTTTATCACTTTCTTATATTTTTAGGCTCTTGGTGAATCTGGAGACACAAAGAAAGCCATAGAAATTCTGAGGAGATGTGAAAAACTTAATAAGAAGGATAAGGTAAAGTTGTGTTCAACTTTCAACACGTCATCAAGTGAAATAGAAAATGAAGAAAATAAAGGTTTTTTTTTATGATTATTTGGTTGTCGACTGTCCAAGATTGTGTTGAAGTCCTGTGTTTTTTGAGGCCACATTCTATGTTTTAGTTATATTTGATGAGATGGCATTGTTAAAGAAGTGGTATGTAGATCAGTGCTAATAATTTTACAGACATTACCGCTACATATACCTGTACTTGTTTTTACTCCCTCAGCTTTATCAGACAAATGACTAGGAAAATGTTTGCTCTATGTATTTCTGTAGGAGAACTTTGCATTTCCCAATGTAGTCTCCCATTCAATGTTTATGCTGTACATGATTTTATTTTGGCACTATGTTGACCTATATTACATTATATTGCATTCATTTAGTGAGTGTTTTGTCTATTATTGTTGCCTTTGACAATTTGTATGTCAACTCGGGTAATCCATCTTAGCAATGCATCATATCCATTAAATGAGGATATTGAAAACAATGAAGTCAGAGATAATCTGAAAGGTAAACATAACTACTGATAGATTACATTTATTGTCAATATGAATGCAACCTGTGTGATGAATCCTTACATCACAATGGCCAGCACTCGGTTTATGTGTCAGCCAAGAATATGAAAGCACTTTATCTGTAGCTCTTATTGGATTCATATTATCAAATAAACACACTCGGATGATTATTCAATGACTATAGAACTTAATATTTTGCTGTTTATATTTCAGAAATTCCAATCTCAGAACCAAGCACTGATGCAGACCTACATAAAGAAATCTGTGAAGGAAACAGAGAAAGAGAAGAAGATGTATAAGAAAATGTTTGGACTACAAAAACCTGCCACTCCTAAAGTAGAAAAGAAACCCACCTCTGTAAGTTTTGTATGTTACACATCAAGTGATCTGGGAAAAGGAAACGAGTAGTACATTCAGTATAAAAACGAAAACAAATGATACAAATTGATGTCTTGATTATTGCAGAAACTGAAATTTCAGATCACTGTCAAAACGGAAAGTGGTCATCTCTTTACTTTTTAATTCAAATATATACATCAGGAAAGAAATTGCTTTTTAATTGTCTCTTTTTTTTTTAAAAAAATTGTACGACAAACTTACATATTGTGAGACTGATTAATTACATAGTAACACCACATCATTGCCAGTGACCTTACATAACGCTTAAAACTTTAAAAGATAAAATATGGTGACTGGTAACAGCCTAATTGATTGTTTTTTGTTGTAGTATTTGTTTCTGACTGACTGTCAAATAATTCAAAAGAAAACAAAAATGAAGAAAATGGTTATCAGTATTTTGACTTCTAGATGTAGACACCTAAAAATTGTCTAGGCTTCCCAAAATAATCCATATGTGATGATGAACATACTGAATATTTACTAAAAAGTAATCATGTTCTGGTAAAACCAGTAGATTCAAATAAAGTGGAGGAAGTAATTTCATACAAGAAAATAACAATTATAGAAGTAAGAAGTATAACAAATTTCATCATTGACCTTAATTGGGTTTGTTTTGATTTTTCAGGTTTTTGCTCCATCATGGAAATGGGCCTTAGGAGGTGTTGGTATGGCCTTAGTGGCAGTGGGAGTTACTGCAGCTTTCAAATACTTCCAGCACTAAATACACAAACTGTGATATCAGGAGAGGGTAGGGGGTGGGGATGGTACATAATTCTTGATTCTTTAACTTTTTCTTCAGTTATTGCTTTATATCACAGTTTTAAGATAATTTAGATCAGTGTGTTTTTAAGTTCAATATCATTATACATTTAAGATAGTTTGATTTAGGGTCACATTGAAGGTACTGTGTTATTACAAGATTCCAAATTATCCCTGTTTTGAGACCTTTCTGAGTTTGTTTCAGTTGTGTTGATTTGGTTGATTGTTGTTCATGTCATAACAAAAATTTATAAGCGTATCAAGATCAAAACTATAAAGGAGTAAAGATTTAATTTGTGCCAAGTTTTCTACCATCAGAGACATGAACACGCTTTATTAATTGATATTTTCCATTTTTCTACAATGATATAAAACTACCCCTTTTGATTTTAAGAAAAGTTAATATTATATTACATAAGCTCCAGGGAAAATAATTTATTTTTCAAAAATTGATAAAATGGTTGGAGGAAATGCAAACTGGTTGCAGAGGGAGACAGTATTTGCAGGAGGGCGTAGAGTCGTACTATATTCATTTCTACCTGTATTGGCATTTTCATATCAGCCAGGGAGAGAAGGAAAGACTGTGGACAAGACAATTCACTAGGGAATTTCCAACCAAGGAAATTGTTGGGAGAGCTCTGGATGGCTGTTACATATATTGATGAGTACCTAATAATTGTGTGTGTGTTTTTGCAGCTGATCTGATGGACATGATCTGGAAAAAAACTGCTTTTGGTGAAGCAATATGTTGATGATATGATATGAGATGGGTTGGCATGCCTGTTACGGAAATTAGTTATCGGTTTAATTTAATCTCCTTTAAAGACCTAATTGACTGTGCCTTTGTTGCCATTTTGAAGGTCATGTTTCTGCTATAGTCATAAAGACCTCACAGTTGGTACGCCTATGTGGATGTTTTATGATACACAATGCCCCACATCAAACGTGTCGAGGAATATTAGGGTGTGGCGGGAATCTCTTATTTATCACAGACAGATGTGTTTACTTGGATGTTACCAGATCATTCTGCCTTGACTTGACGCTAGTTGGTGTGTTGTTGTGTACTGTACTGTGTCTGCATTAATTGTACTGGCACCGAGGTTTTATTGACAAAAGGCGGATCCCACTTTCAAAATATTACGAGGGTTGTCAGTATGGATATTAGAGGATGATGAATTGCCAGTTTGATAACATATTTTTACGGCAGGAGACTAGCTTATTTCAATATTATGTTATCGGTATGTGATTTCACTGGTTGTTGGTAATTTTTCGGGGATTCATTGGGTTGTGCGCAAAACATATACTCTCCAATTATACATGAGAAATTCATAATGTGTAATTATTCCAGAGCACATCAAAACAAATACCTTGAAGTTTTGTGTAAATGACCTGCCGAGTTTGATTGGACGCAGATATTTCCACGCTCATACCAGGTTCATTATCGAACAGCTACCTGTTTGTTTGGTGACTTCACTGTCTGGGGAAAAGAATCACAAGAGTATTCTTTTTCTTAGATAGCAAGTCTGTCAAATGAAATATGGAATGAATATTGCAGTACATTGGAGATCCAATTTACCCCTACTGCCAGTATTTTATCCCATCCAAAAACCATTAATGGCACACTTATAAACCCCTGGAGTATTTAGACCATCAAAAGGGTTTCTATACACTCACATTGTAAACCTAATCAAAAAGGTACTCATTTTTCGAGCTGAAAATAACATTTTAAAATAATTTGTGAAACAGTAGGTCAGATATAATTTTCTTTGAAATTAATCCTATGGTTATTAAGATTTAAGTAACTACCTTCAATGTGTCCTAAATTGATGAAATCCATTTTGCCAGCAGAAGATTATTTGCATTCCACTATGGTCATGCTTCAAATTTTAAATAGTAGAAAAAAACTAGTTAATGTGGGTTTTTTAAATAAAGATAAGACTTGTAGTTCATTTAAATAATTGGTGTACTTCTAGTCAAGTAAAGCTATCTTCCATGTATCTTTTAGGGACAGCATAATTTGATTATCAAGGGATAGTGCCATACATATTGAAAAAAGGCAACATTAGATTTTTCTGTAAGTTTGGAGGTGAATCATGATTAAAGGAGGGAACATAACCTCAAACTTCATTGCATTGATGTTTTTATGTGTATTTAACTTGTGCCAAAGTGGTTGAAGAAGAACATATGAATAGATGTAACAAGGAAAAATGCCTTGGCCTGATTCTCTCGCACGAAGGCTGCTTTGATTTTTTGAGACTTTTTAAAGTCATGTATGTGTATCGTATGTACAGATCATGTACTTGTTTGTGTTACTTGTAATAGATTCATCACTTTATCATAAATGAATCTCTTCATTCACTTTCTGTGAAAAGTCCAAGATTTACTGCTACTGTTGTAAAACTGAACATCACACAGTGTCAAAATATATACCCATAGTATAAAAGGCTTCATGTGTTCTTAAATGTGTAGAAGATTTTTATACAAAATTCAATGTGGTCTTGGTGTGAATTTTCTTGCACCTTAAACAGTAAACAGTTTAACAGAATGGTTTCTATCTCTGTTTACAGAGCTAGAGGCACATTACTGTAGGTGAAACCTTCGTATTGAGTTCAGAATTGTTTTATATTTCATAAATGTGTTAATCAAACTGTTATAAGGTTACAAAAACAACATTTAATCAGTTTCAAAATAATATTCCCATCGCATTCCAAACAAATTTATCATTTATATACCATTTATCAGAGTGATTGTGTAGAATTGACTTGGGTTTAAATGTCAGCGAGATACGAACAACACCGAGAGGAAAAATTGCACTTTGTTATGTGATAGTGAATATCTGTGATGTGCTGTTTAAAGATGAACTAAATATATATCATGTCTATGAACAGTTGTTGTTTTGTTTTACTTGGATGAAGTGCCCAGTAATAAGTGGCAAATAAGGTATTTATATATATAAATATCTCTTGTTGGCCAAGTCAAAACTGAAGACAGTTTAAGACTTAAGATTAATATCTCTTGTTGGCCAAGTCAAAACTGAAGACAGTTTAAGACTTAAGATTAATATCTCTTGTTGGCTAAGTCAAAACTGAAGACAGTTTAAGACTTAAGATTAATATCTCTTGTTGGCTAAGTCAAAACTGAAGACAGTTTAAGACTTAATATTAATATCTCTTGTTGGCTAAGTCAAATTGAAGACAGTTTAAGACTTAAGATTAATATCTCTTGTTGGCTAAGTCAAATTGAAGACAGTTTATGACTCAAGATTAATATCTCTTGTTGGCTAAGTCAAATTGAAGACAGTTTAAGACTTAAGATTAATATCTCTTGTTGGCTAAGTCAAATTGAAAACAGTTTAAGACTCAAGATTGTTTCAAAATTATATGGTGAGATCAATATCTTACTGGAAAAGACTTTAACATCAGAAATGTGACATGGGCAAATGCAATCAGGGACTGAAAGAGAAAGAAATGCTATCCATAATTATTATCGAATATCAAGTCTGTGCATGTTAAATCAGGTGTAGTTGGCTGCTAATGCTTAAGAATCGCTGTCTCAATTACCAACTGGGGTGTTCTTGCACTACAGCTTAAATGACCATTGAGAGACAATAGGATTGCCAGTCTGACCGAATATGTATGTTAATGCAAAATGCACATGCTTTCATTAATATAAATATTAAGTCAGGTAAGAGAAGATATCCTTGTGGCTGTATATCAATTTAAACAATATTTTAAAATGTACATCAATGCAGTCACTTTGCAGTGTCATCAATTAAACAAGTGGCTATGTCTGGCAGAAGTTCAGAGGAGAAAGATGCCATGTATGAAAAGTACTTAGAGAAAGGCTGAAAGAATTACAAGATGAGTACTAATGAATGACCAAATGCTGTTTAATGACACACTATTAATATGTGACTAACTGATGCTAGTGACAAACTAATGCTTATGTGAAAGATACCAGTGCTGTGTAACCAACCTGATGTTTTGGTACAAGACTGTTAGTATGTGAATTATTAATGCTAACGTGTGATCTACAAATGATAAGAGACAAACAGATGCTACCGTGTGACTCACAGATGTTAGTATATGACAAGTTGATGCCGGCATATGATAAACTGATCCTAATGTATGACAAGCCAATGCTAGCATGTAACAAAACTAGCATTTTACAAAGTTATGCTAGTGTGACAAACTGAAACTATTGTGCGACAAACATGATGCTAGTGTGTAACAGACGTTACTATGGTATGTGACAAATGCTGGTGAGCAATGTTCTGATGCTAGTTTGTGACCAACTGATACAAGTGAGGCTAGTGTGTGACTTATTCAAGGTATTGTGTGACTAATATGTGATTAGCTGTAGCTAATATTTGACTAACTTAAATGATGATATGTAACGAACAGTTAATGTTTGACAAATGAGATCTTTGTGTGATAGATGCCACGCATTGTGATTTAATCTTCACCAAACGTTCTTCTAGTGAACATGCCAATAAAACATCACAAAAATGACACTTATGATATTTCATATCTATTATTAATGGTAAGTGGTGGATTTAGATGTGTTTCAATTTTGATGACAGCGCAGGATTTCCAGTTTTGTGGGCAACACCAGATTTCAGAAGCAGACGAACTGGTGTGCAAAGTAGGCCTATGTGCGTGACTCATAAAGGTAGTAACACTTCAGGTCAGTGACGGCACGTAAATTGAATAAAGATAGTGAAAGAGCACGTGTAGATTGTCTCAACCTAAGGGTGAGACTAAAAGGATCTTCCATCCTCTTTAGGGTCAGTTAGGGTATCTCAACCCGGAAAAGTGAGGGGGATTGTCAAACACGAACTTGCCAATAACATGATACGTCGTGGAGACAATCGATCAGGTCTGCTTTATCTGTACTTTACACTTGACAACTAAGATAGAACTCTATTAGACACAATATAAAAATAATTCCAATAACGTCTACCAATAGTGTACTAACTAGATAAACGGAATTGTTCACAACATAATAATTAGATATTTGAAAATTATAGGTGTCTACAACAAAATATAACATCAGACATGCCACTAGATTGCAAAGGCGATGGTGTCAGGATTTAGAGACTCGGAGACCATACCTACGGCGCTGTAAGGGACGCAGTAGGGTTCCTATTCGGATTACCATAGCATTGTGCAATATTCTTCAGGTAACAGGTATGATTTCAAGGATACCTTGGGAGACTACCAGGGAGGAACACCCCCGATCCTCTCATTAATTTGCGCATACTGATACCCCAAGAGTATGAGGTTTCCTCATTTGTGAACAATCGTCATATTTACACCTGTTTAAAATAGTTTACACACACAGCAAAGGCGGCTGTTGTCCCCCGGGGGTTCCGAGCAGAATGCCCCCTGCCGATAATGTACACTTTAACCTGTATACTACAAAACCTCACGTATACAAACATTGCACGGGTAGCAGATGGAGACTCATACCTAAGGACACAGTAGGGCACTGAAGACTTGCAGCAAGGTCCTTTTGCTGAGAACCAAACAACCGACACACTCAATTCGGTCCAACATGGTATTGTGTGTATTTCATCTCACCAAGTTCTCGTATTCAATAAATACCATCTGAAGTGACTGTTTGTATTATCACATAAGACACATGTAACAATGGTCATTATTTAATTCAATGGCACGGCCAGGATTCGAAGCCGGGACCTCTAGTCTACTAGTCTTGGCGCTCTACAGATCGAGCTAAAGAGAAGTGTGTTTTAGCACAGCGGTATATCGTGGGTAGTATTTTACCAGGGTTACATTAAAAAAAGAGCAAGCGTGAAAAAGGATGCCGAGAGGATAGGGTTAGATTAGCAATAGTGACTAGGATCCACTGCCTCTCTATCCTTAACCGGTCCGCATGCTGCGAGGTGCTTAGTTACTGTAAGGTGAGATATACAATTAAGGGTTCGTCTTCAAAGTTATAGTTTAAGAAAAAGTCTGGTAGTATATACAACGGCCCTCTCTACCTCATCTCTGTACCTACTCTCTTCCACCGCTTCATACCATTTCCCCTCTACTCATTTTCCTTTCTTTTCTCGTCCGCTGAAAGGCCGCGTTTTGGGTTTAGACTCAGATAGGACAATTTTAACTTATATATATATATGTATGTATACGTTTATTTACCTGCCAATACTGCCAAAAGAAATGAATCGATTCAAAATCACACTTGTACATATTTCCGTCCCAATGTGGTTGAGCAGTTTTATAATCTATTTGAGATTTTGCGTGATGTCATGATATTGAGTTTTCTAGCAGACAAATTATTTCATTAGGTTTGCGAAAATAACAACAGAATAACATTTTTGTTTCATAATTCTACTATCTCCAAAATATCACGTAAATCTGTAATCACGGAGTGATGTATAAATTTCTCAATAGTTAAACTATGATATAAGGTATATTATTATCAATAACTTTATAAACGAACAATACTGTGCTGCGTATGATGATGTGGTACTCTTTGGGATCCATTAAGTTATACTGTAAGTACCTATTTGAGGAGAACCAAGTAGAAATCTTACGAAAATCGAACATGCTGTGGAACATCGAACATGGAAATGTATTACGACGTCCGTTCAGGCATACATTCCTTGGCGGGAAATGACGTCATGCAAAAGGAATGTGACGTCACTTAACCCATTCTCAGCTGCCTTCATCAGCAAGCACTGTTCAGCGTTCTGTATAAAGTGAAAGCTTACCCAATGATATTTGAAGATGTCATACATAATAGGTTTGTTTAACTTCTAAATACTACAAAGTACGCATAAACTTCTGTTTTTCATTTTCAAATCTCACAGAGATAGTGTCAATGATGTAACATGATAGGAACGATATACTGAACTCTGTCACCAATACAGTATTTATTCACTATGCCGAAGTTTTCAGCTATGCGTAACGGCTTATCACATCAGTGAAACTTGCTTGTCTAGAACTTTCAAAACGAATTTTGAAATAAATTTATAAATGACGCAATACAAACTTAGTGAAACAACACAGAACTCTACCACACTTTATTTTCTATAGAGCAACTATCGCAATGGAAGTTAATTTGTCACCGGTACACACGTACCTGTGACAAGAACATGTCAAGTTCTCATTCGCAGTATTTATTTAGCCATTATAATCCTTTTTTTTTATTCCTAACGACTGACACGAGATCACACAGATCACTTTGTTTCCTTTGTTTGAATACAGCTAGTGAGACTGAGGATCTGTCGCCTACCATTGAAGATATCCTTTCGCATCCAGATTACTATGAAGACACTCAACAGCAAGCTGTCGATAGAGGAAAGGTCTGTACCAGAACAGCTATAACAAATGTGAAATAAGGAACAGGAGAAAGGTGTTCCGATGAACCTGCTGGGTTTTGAATTTGGATGGGCGAGTGCCTTTTCGTGCGTCATTTCAGAAATATAGGTTACCATACTCGGGAATCGTAGCCACGACCGCACATTCAAAGTCAAACGAAATTTCATGAACAATTCCGTTTATCCAGTGAAGCTAGTATATTATTGGTAGACGTTATTTGAATTATTTTTATATTATGTCTGATCGAGTTCTACCTTAGCTGTCAAGTGTTAAGTACAGATAAAACAGACATGATCGATTGTCTCCACGACGTATTAATATGCTATTGGCAAGCTCGTGTTTGACAAACTTCTCCCCCTCTCCCTTTTCGGGTTAAGATACCCCTAACTGACACTAAAGAAGGCAGAAGATTCTATTAGTCTCACCCGAGGGTTGAGACAAACCATACGTGCTCTTTCACGTTCTGAAATCAATTTTCGTGCCGTCACTGACCTGAAGTGTTACTACTTTTATGAGTCACACTCACAATCAATGTATTC